CATGAGCAGCAACTTCACCAGAGCTCGACCTCTGTGCACTGGCCCATATACAGGCTGGTTCCCTTGAGCCATGCCTGGTCTCCAAAGTGGGTTGGCCTGCCCCACCCTTCGCCTTGTCTCCGCATTCATGATAGGCAACGAGCTTCCACGTTCACGTCCCTTGGACTCCTCCTGTGAGCTTCACTACCACTCTTCCGAGCACCGTGTTCGGTCACAACCAATCCAGTTCCAGACAAACCACCTTCCCGGCTTCCACAGTGCCTTACAAGCTTGTGAACCAAATGTTTCCAAGCCTTGACAATCCGGATCCGCCTCCTCACAGGGGAGACTGAAATTCCGTCCATTTTTCGGCTATTCTGCACAGACGGCTCCGCGGCTGCCTGTGTGCTTGGGGTCTTTTTTAAAAACCGAACTTTTTCGAAACAGTTGGTTTTGAGACAACTGACCTACAACCTTAAAAATACCTTGCCTGAAGGATTCTTCCCCGGTTGCCGCGCTCGAAATAGGCCGACGCACTCAGGCTGGAGGCACCGTAATGAGATGCAATGGGTTCTCGAAGTCTCCCACGACTGGGAACAGAACCAGGCCTTAAGTTCTGTCCATGATTGCATGTAGCTTCTTCATTGATGGTAAAGTATTGACTGGACGAGGGGCAAGCTCAACTTGGTTCGGCTCTTCTAAGTCTGTTCCTCCTTCTCCAGTTTTATCGCTCTCTCTTGCCTCCATCCAGTTGCCGAGGTTGGCGCCTTCCATCCAAGACTGTCACTTTCTTGGCTAGATCAACAGCCTCTGTCGTAATCCTTTCCTCTTGTTTCAAAACATGCACCAGCTCCATGCTGAGGAACCTTTATCCAGTCCTTCTTCCTCAATGAAAGCTCAGGAGGATCCTCGTTCCATCTTCGTTGACTACCTCTTGCAGGTTATAAACTCAAGTCTTTTGGGCTAGGCGGGGAAGGATCTACCTTCAGGGTCTTCTCTGGTTCCTCAACAGGCGCCATAGTGGACAGGCACTGTGCCTAGGAGGACCAAAGTACCTGGAAGATGCCGGGCAAACTGCCATGAAGCGCCGAGAACAGGCAAAGGTTGGCATGTGCAGGCCCAGTGGGGGCCTTTGATGCTACAGTGACCCTCCACGGCACCAAAAATCTGTTTTAATTCGTGCAAGAGGAGGCTGGTGAGCAGTGGAATGCTGGCATGATGGAGGTTTATCCACCTCTTGATTTTGCTACTCAGGGTGGGGGAGTCCTGATCAAACCAGCGGAAGAAGGAGGCCAACCGGGTGGGGCTGGGGAACCCATAGTGCTCTCGGGTGCCCCAGTTCGCCACATCCAAACTTGACAGGCGATGGTATTTGGGCATTCCCAAATACGCCCAGTTGTGCTCCCCTCCCGGGAGTGGAGGTAACCCAGGAGTTGGGTTAATTCGAACTTTCGAACTTGTTGTTTGGAGTTATGTTCAACCCAACTCCAACCTGGGAGTTGATTTTGACCTTGATCTCTCAACCTGGGTTGAGGTTCCCCACATTTATTGCGCGCCATTTCCTTCACATTCGAGCCTTGGGCAGGGGCTTCCAAATTAGAGCTGCCCCTTCTTGATGTTCGAGTTCGAGCCATGTGAGTTGCCTAGGCGTCCAGACAGTCGAAGAGCGCTTACTGCTCGTTTTGATTCTCTTCCAGTGCAAGCAGCTTCTGAGCTTCGGCAAACCAAGCTCAATGCAATGTCCTGAAGTTTCCTGTTCGTAAAACCGAGAAGAAGTCAAGAAGTAGACAAACTCTAAATTCCACCCCCCTCGTTTCTTAGTTTTTTGTTTCCTGTATTTTTCTTCGAAAAGCTGAGAATGAGTAGAGAAGTTATTCGGAATCAGAGGAGTACAAAATTCATCTAAATTCCACCCCCCTCGTTTCTTGATTCTCTTTGTGCTCATGATTCGAGAATCAGAGAAGTAGAGTAGAGAGTCAGTATCCCGTCGTTCATCGTTTTTTGTTTCTTGTGTTCATTCTTCGAAAATCAGAGGAGTAGAGAATCATCTAAATTCCACCCCCCCTCGTTTCTTGTCTTGTTGTTTTTTGTGCAACATCGTCGTTTTTGTTTTTTGTTTCTTATACTTATGTTCGAAAAGCAGAGAGTAAGCGGAGAATTTTTTCGACATCATAGTAGATAATTCATCTAAATTCCACCCCCCTCGTTTCTTGTTCTTGTTTCTTGTGCTCATTTTTTCGAAATCATTGGAGCAGTAGAGAACTGGTCTAAATTCCATCCCCCTCGTTTCTGGTTTTTTTTGTTTGTTGCGGGCACCCTGTCATGGTGGGGGGGGGTTGGGGCAGGCCGCCCCCCCCAAAAAAAAATTTGCCTGTTGTTGCCAGCCCACCCCTCTCCCCGAATAGCATGAAAAAGCTGAAGAAAGGAGTGACGGTAAGGGAAGGCAAAGGAGTTGGTGTTAGGGTTAGGGTTACCCTAACCCCAGGTAGGGGGTAACTCAGGCCAAGGGAAGGGAGAGGAGTTAAGGTTAGGGTTAGGGTTAACCCCAACCCTAACCCCAGGTAGGGGGTAACCCAGTAAGGAAAGGGAAAGGAGTTGAGGTTAGGCTTAAGATTAACCCCAACCCTAACCCCAGGTAGGGGGTTGGGGTTAACCCAACCCTAACCCCCACCCTGACCCAGCTTACGGTTAGGGTTAACCCAACCCTAACGCGAGTTGGGGTTCAGGCTATCCTAACCTGCTACCTGGAGTTGGGCTTTCTGTTAACCTGAACCCTAACTCAGGTTGGGGTGCGGGTCGAATTCGAACCCTAAGCCCACGTTAGGGTCCGGGTGAACCCTTTGGGGTTGGCCCCCCGTCCGACCCGAGCTTGTAACCTGAGTTGAACCCTAACCCTCAACCCCAGCCCGCGGGGTATGCTCAATTGGGCAAAAAGGCCCTCCCCCGGCGAAGTCATGGTGTCAAGTTGGGCACCCCTCCAAGGCCTTAAGAAAGCCCCTCCGATGAAATCATGGTCCGCGGGAAAATCTTAACAGTGTGATTCTTGGAGGCCCCGAGGTTGGGTCGATGATTTTAATGGGAGGGTCCTTCTTGGACCCGACTTGACACTGTGATTTCGCCGGAGGGGCCTTTTGGCGCCCATCTTGGCAGTATGAATTTCACCGGAGGGGCCTTCCTTGGGCCTTCTTGGGCCCACTTGACACCGTGATTTCGCCGGAGGGGCCTTCTTGGGCACATTGTCGCAATGATTTCGCCGGAAGAGCTTTCTTGAGCCCAACTGCCCCTGTTTGGGCCCAACTTGACACCATGATTTCGCCGGAGGGGCCTTCTGGGACCCAGCTTGACACGGGCCAACTGGACGCCATGATTTCGCCGGAGGCCTCCTTCATGATTTTGCCGGGGGGGCCTTCTTGGGCTCAACTTGACACCGTGATTTCGCCGGAGGGGCCTTCTTGGGCCCAACTTGACACCATGATTTCACTGGAGGGGGCCCAACAACTCACTTGACACCATGATCTCGTCGGAGGGAGAGGAGAGGGAGAGGACAGCGAGAGCGGAGGGAGAGGGGAGAGAGGGAGAAGAGAGCGGGAGAGGAGAGAGGGAGAAGAGAGAGGGAGAGCAGAGAGGGAGGAGCGCGGCCTTCGTGTTGATGGGGAAGCGGGGACAAGGCTGAGTGCCAAACTTTGTGGCGATCACTGTGGCTCGGCTGTTCCTACCAGGCTCTGAGAGCGCAGTTAAGTCCCAGAACCCACAGTATTCGCGCAATGTGTTGAGGGTTGCTACTGCATTGGCGCCTATTAAATTGTCGCATTTTCTTTCTTGTCACATTTTCAAACTCCAAAGTCGTCGCTGCCTTCGAACTCGACACTTTCAAAGGCTCGAATTCCAAGCTTTCAAAGTCCGTTTAACTCCCAACTTTCGCTCGCCACGAGGATGTTCAATCCTTCAAAGACCCGAGTTCGAGAAATCCCACTTGTGACACCTTTCAACATGAAACAACTTGTGAAATAGCCGTGATGGACACGCGCTGTACCGTTTCTGAGTGATGTCGGATCTGGGATTTGCCCTTGTTTAGAAAATGCCTTTGGACATGCTGGCGAGTTTGGCTTACGGCAATTTTTGTGAACTTCTGTGCCCCTGGGCCATGGCTGAGAATGGTGCTCTCAGCACGTCGTGAAGCGATGATGAAGATAGGCTGCACCCAAGCTTGAAGATGTCGGGGTCTTCGCAGCATGGCACGGTGCTCAGTTCTAGGGCAATGGAGCACGCTCCAGGCTGCCGAGATCTCTCCTTTTTCGTGCGTTGAGAGCTTGAAAGAAGTTCCGAGTCCCTTTTTCTAGCCCATGTCTTGTAGGACCGCGACCTGCAATTGCAAAAGCCCGTCGCTTCGGCCAGGTTACAAGGCTTTCCCCAGCCTCGTGCTGGCTTGGCAAATGCTGCCGTTGAAGCCGCCGCCGACTGTGAAGAGCCAGGAGAAGCCTCTTTGTGGAGACCGCTGCCGACCCTGCGTCTTCGTTGGCACCAAGACAGGCTGTCATCGGCATCCTTGTGCCTTCTGTCACAGTGATGTTCATGTCCAGCAACGCCGTGAGAGCAATTGGCGGCGGTCCAAGAAGCACATCGCCGAGCTGCAGCTGAAAAAGTCTGGCACCTTAAGCTGAAAGACTGTTGGCTTGCTTTGCTGAGTCTGCGCAAAACTTCGTGCTCAGATTCTGAGATGTCTCACACTCCCCACACGGATTTCCTTGCAACTTTGCGTCGTTTGCAAGTTGCACAGGCTAATCAGCGAAGACTGAGGACTGGCGGATGTCTGAAAACAGTTTGCCGAGCTCAGTACATGTGCTACATGCCATCGTGCTTAAGTCAGTCCTGCTTGCGATTCTGAGACATGAAGCCGCGAAAGCCCTTGACTCACGTGAAACACGTGCCCTGATTTCTTGGAAGTGTTGGTGGCGAGGACGAGATCGGACAGTCACTTGCAAGCCGAAAAACCCATGGGCTGGTGAAACCACTGAGAGACCATGGTCCAGGTCCCCGCCAAATCTGACTGGTTCCCCGCGATCGTTGCGTGCTGTCTCGTACTCGTACATGCCCCCCTGCCCAAAGCCAGATCCGACGTCCGGGAGTTCTCGATTTCGCGCCCCGCGCGTTGCAGCAGTTTTTGCTCATCACTTCCGCTGGCCCCCTTGCTCGTCACAATGCTGTTTGCTGTGCGGCTCCTGTCGACCTTGGTGGCGCAGCCGGAAGTCAATAGTAATCAACTTCAAGAAGTGAAGGGGTTGGGAGCCTCCTAGAGACAGGACTGGGAAACAAGGCAACGAGGTTTGAGTAGTAGTTCTATGTTCGCACCTGTGTGTGTGTGGAGTGATTTCAGAAGCGACCCCGCCCAAAACCCGTCAGAGCCCCTGATCGTCCAGGTGGTCACTGTCTATGGATGCACCCTTCCGGAGGTGCAAAGTGTCGAGCAGCTTTTTCCTTGCGGTGAATTTGAGAAATCCCCAGACCCAATGCCGGCGAAGTGTAAGGTTGAGGTCCTGGGTTCGGAAGAAACTGGGGAGTTTGTTTATGCACCTGCGCAAGGACGCCAGATCTACGGACATCGTCACTTCAAAGACCTACAAGTACGACGGGAGCTACTGCACCAGCACGGCCACGGGAAACTCGCAGTCGAACGTGTGTGGCACCAGATTCGCCGACCGTGCTCACATCGTGGTCGACGGAGGTGATGACACGATAGAGGTGGAAACGAAGTTCTTGTCCATGAAGCTTGCCAATTGGTCATCATCAGGCTCCACAGGTTGTTTCTCCACAGGTGGCTACACGCAGATTACTGGCAGTGACGGCGACGCACTGAAGTTCCCCAGCCTCAGCGTGACAATCTGTCGGATCCATGCCATGTCTAGTGTCACGCTTGTCTGCACCTACAATGGGATTGCAAGAAGGGCATGTGTGGATGTGCACAGCATCAGCGACAAGAGGTTCAGAAGTGTCCTGTGCCTGCTTAGGAACACTTTTTTCGCCTGCAACGGTATACGTTTCTACATCAAGTTCGATGATTCAGAGGCGAGATCCCGAACCCTGATTCTACCTAGCCGCCCTAGTCATCCTGGTTGCCATGTTCAGCAAGAATCGTAGGGTGGCCAGTGCAGTGGATGATCAGCTCATGACGCGAAAGCCGGACAGGCCTCCACAACGGCTGCGCCATCTACCGACTGTGCCACCGGATGTTATTCTTCCTGGCGTGGTGACGGCGAATGCGACAGCTCCTGCAACAATGCTGCGCGCCTGGGCTTGATCACGTCCGTTGACGCAGCTCTGTTTGTACTGACATTGGGATGTTCTCTCTTCCTAACACTACTGTAGTGGCCACGAGGTGCAACTACGACGATGGTGATTGCAACCAGGACTGGTGTGGTGAATCTGGCAGATGGAGCTATCTTTGTAATTGGGATGATGCCCTTGTTCAGGCAGTGCTCCTTCCCAGCAGTTGTGCAAGCTGATGACTGTCAATGGAGTTGTCAAAGCGTCGGAGATAGTGCAACTCTGCCAAACTGCTGATTAAAAGCCTCGTTGTAGTTGACAGAGGAGTCGAGCTGAAAATCTCAGGCTTCTCGACCTGTTGCGTAGCAGTGAAAGGAGTGCGCAGACGGTTGCCATTCTCACTGGCGCGGTGACAGCGAATGTGACAGTGTTTGCAACAATGCACAGACTCTCAGCTTGCAGCCTGCTAGCCTTTCATTGCCATCAGTTTTTCTTTGGCGGCTATGATGGGTAGGCCCCAGAAATATGAGCCCCAGAGAAGAAGCTGTTTAAGCACCAGGTCCAGTTGTCATGTCTCGTACGATTCCGCTTTCTTGAAAAGCCTTGTGAGGTGCAACTATGATGATGGAGATTGCTCCGAGGTCCCGGTGAGGCTTTCGAGAGAGCTGATCTCCTTCCTTGTTTTCGCCCCAGGCTGCGGCCAGCAGTTGCGACAGCAGCTGCAAGTGCACCACTTGCAGCCAGTCCATGGCTTGCAAATCACAGGACTGGAGACTCGAGATTGAAATAGAAACGTGTCGGGGAAGGCTTGGTTGACAAAACGACTGCTCGGCCCGGCTCAGCGTGGCTGCTGCGGTCAGGCCCCCATGCCCCCCCCCCGCCAGACCGAAACTGCAGCGAACCAGTGCCGGGAAGCAGAGCATGGGTCGGAAACCAAGACTCCAAATCTTGAATGCAACAAGGACTGAAAAGGTTTGCCACGTCTCTTGCCGGCGACGACACCGCGCGGAAGAAGAGAAGAACAATCTCTAGCTTGTGGGTACCGGTCGTTCAGAAGTGTTATGCAGTGTTGCGGGTGCCGGCTGGGAAGTTGCTTCGTGTGCTAGGCGGCACCAACCCATCCTTGGAAACAAACTGCAGTCTTTGCTTTTTGGATGTCCCACGCCCCCGACAGCTTTGAGCGGCCAGCTTCCTTTGTCATGTCGCTGTCAGACCTGTTCTGAGATGCTTTTCATGACCATGCCGAGTGATCTTTCTGCTTGTAGGAGTGCACCAGCGATGAAGAGTTCACGTACACGGGCTGCAGCTCGTTGAACATCAATGGGGTTGGAACGGCTACTGTCAGCGGCTTGTGCACCCAGAAGGACCGCTTTGGAGCATGGGCTTTCGCACCCGGATCGCATGTACAGCTCCATGCTTTCGTAGGAAGTGGCGACGACGACGACCGCGACTACGCCAAGCACAGCAACGCCACCGTCGGGGTGCGAGGATGGCCCATGCGATGGATCAGCTGGGGTAGCTAGCAAAGCCGTCGGACGCTTCTTGTTCGGTGCGGCAACCTTTGTCACTCTGTGGGCTGTCCTGTTTGGCTAGGGCACCCAAGCATCCTTTTTGCGATTTTGTTGCCTGCAGCTGAAACAGAAGTGCTATGTGTCGTATGCCTCCTGTTATCTAGAAGCATGCTCGGTTTCAGCTGTGTGCAAGATCTGTCTGGGCGTGCGGCCATTCGCAAGATATACGCTGAAGTGCTGCCGATGCCAGACAGCCGTCAGGTCGCCGACTCTTGCTGCGAGTTACTCTGCCTAAGAAGTGTGAACCCCCCCGATGTTTTAGGCAATTTATGCCCGCACGAGACCCTGCAGCTTGTCCGATCGATCTGATGAGTTTTGTGTGAAGCTGCTTGGATTCATCGAGAGGAGGATTTCTTGGTGACCTTGTTTTCTTTTCACTTCTCAGCTTGTTTCAAGCGACGATATCTGCGAACACCTTGCTATTGCTGTGCTTGGAGAAATCGGAGTGCGGCCTTCGTGTTGATGGGGAAGTTGGGAGGACTTGGGTGATCACTGTATGCGGCTCGCCAACCAGGCTTTGTGCAGGCCCTAATTGAGAGAGATCATGGCTCAATGATGTTTGGTGCTCAGTCAACAAAGGTTCAGTAGTCTTATTTTGTGTTTAGACACGGCGTTTTGCACCACCTTGGCCAGAAATGGCTTTGGGGACATTGGGCATCCGAGTGGTATATGCTGAATGCTTCATCTGTGCACGTTGCCAGTTCTTAGAACGACATCGACTGGTTCTGCTTGTTCATCTGGCTGCAGCCGCTGTCGGTTTCAAGCGATCGCATATCTTTTCAGTGAAAGTTACCCCGCGTCGACCCTGTTTTGTCGATTTTCGGAGCAGGGTCGACGCCGGACCAGCATGGTCTCGTTTGCGCAGCCTTTGTTTTGGCAGCCCTGGCCTTACACATGGGGATGTTCCCCCCTTATTCTAACAGTCCTCAATAGGGATTATAGTACCCCTATTATAGTACCCCTACTATAGTCCCAATTTTTGTACCACTACTTTAGTCCCCATTAAGGACTGCTAGTATAAGGGGGAACATCCCAACTTACAGATTGTGTCGGGATTTGCTGCAGCTGTGTCTGTTTGATTGGTCTGTATCTAGGAATCTAGGGCACGGCTGTCGGGGTTTGCTGCGTTTGCGGTGGTGGCCTACTCCAGGATAAAGTACGTGGTGAATGGTCTTAGCAAGAAGTCCCGGCCTCAGATTGTCATTGGTTCGGCTAGCAATTGCCAGCATCCAGCTTGTGTAGTTTTCTTGAGGGCTTGAAAAGTTGGCAATGTGAGGTCCTGTGAGTCTCAGAGGTCGAGGTGAGGAGTTTGTCCACACAGCTGCAGGACCCAGAAGCAAGGCTTGAACGAGCTGCACAACTTGATTGCAGCTTATGGCTATGATGCGCAGGCTCGCTGTGAGTATCAGTGAGTCTAAGCACTACAACAACTTGCTCATAAGTGACGCACACTGTTGCATGTTCAAGGTGTGCTTTTTGGAAACCAACGTGAGGGCTGAACGGTATGGTGTCATGTTTCCAACTGCGCATTCTCTGAGTATTCAGAGCTCTCTTTCGAGTCCGACAAAAGACGGAAAGAGCCCTGTGAGGTTTTCTTTCTGCGCGTTCTGATTGAGGAGTGTGCAGCAAACAACTGGCAACCTACAGGCCTGGCGCTGGGATGTTAGGGGATCTTAGGGCCTTTCGGCTTCTGGGTTTCAACTGGGGCAGGGACTGTCGTTTCGCTCACGTAGGGACCTAGAGTTGGCGCGAATGGAGATGCAAATCGCTGTGGCCTATGGCTTCTTCATTGTGACTCAGTCAACATCAGAAAAGTGCCACCGAATACTTCCATCTCCGGGCGCAAATGGAATAGAAGCAGCTGGGCTTACACTATAAGCTTCAGAGAGCCCACGCACCTAATCCTTTCCTCTGGCCATTTTGAAACCGCCAGATTTTCAAGGGCTCAAGCTGAGACAGGGAAACCGAAGACTTAGTGCTAAAGAAATGGTGAAGGTTTGGTGGACGGACAAGCAGCAGAATCTTGTTCGTGTCGATGAGTCTGTTGGCGGTAAGGGAGCTAAACCTTAATACCTCAACCTGGCCCTAAACACGGACTTCCGGTCGAATGATTTCGGGGCGGCGTTTCTGATTCTGATGACGGTTTAGAAGGAGGTTGGGTGAGGTCAGGCTCGGGCTCTTTGGTGTGCTGAGGCCAGCGCGTAATTCAGATGCAGCTCCTTGCAAGCGAGCTCAAGGAGATGGAGTCGGAGGCCTTGTCATGAGATCATGCAGTGCGCAAAGGATTGTGTCCGCTACTAACCATTCTGAGAGATGCAGCGTGCGACGAGTTTTGTGTTGCTCCCTCGTGGCAGGAGATGTTCGGGGTGCTGTCCGAGCCACAGATCACCTACCTTGATGCTTGCCAATGTGTCATTGTCTCCGTGAGAGCATGCAGAAATTCCGGTTTACACTCCAAAGACTCAAGGTGCACATATGCTCCATGCGGTAACTTCTATTTGTTCAGTTTCAGCCACCTTTAGCAGCACTAAGGCTTTGTCAGGCCATCGAGCAGTGCAGGGACAACGTCACGGAGGAGAGTTGCGGGTTCTTTATGTGTTTGTCAGAGTGCTAAGCATGCTCCGAAACCCTGAAGCTCTAAAGCCCTTAAATTTCAAAACGGCAAGTCAGTCTTGGCTGACACCTTGCATGCAGGGGCTTGTTGGTTGCATCACGCGATGGAGTTGCAATTGGTATCCCCTAAGCCCGGAAACCTGAAATCTCCAAACCCAAACCCCTAAGCAATACTTAGGCATTCTGTTGACAGGGTTAGAAAAAGGTCTTCAGGGTTTTTTGGCTTGGTTTGTTTGGGGCTTCAAACATTAGTTAGGGCTCAATGTTCCCGCGCTTCCAGATATTTTGTGAGTTGGCTTTGGGTCTTTGGTTCCGTCCACTGGCCGCATGTCCAGCTGCTACGTTGGGTTCCGGTGTGATTCTTCTCCCAAAGCTCAAGCAGGCTTCGTTGCAGTTTTGGTCCACTTGCACGTGTTTGCCTCCGCCGCCAACCCTTCAAGCGTCCGAAGGCTCTTCCCAAACACTCTGATGCTCTTGAATCCCTGAGACACGAATGCCCACAACCTTCCACAAGAACTTCACGCGCACCTCCAAGACGCAAAGTCGCTTCAGGTTGAGAGAGCCTACTGGGTAGTGAATGGTAGTTACAAGTAGGGTCTGAGTTGAGTAATTTAACCACCCACGAACCTTCAAGAAAACCCCCCAACAAGCCCTAAACCTCACACCCTGAGTCCTGACTTACTCGGAGTGAGGAGTTCTTGATGCAGCTCTCAAAGGCATCGTTCCGACTGCATGCGTCAGCTGGCTAGGTGGTTCGTGGCTCTACGTATTATGATTATCATCACCATCGATCTGTTTTGTTTTTTGAGAATCTAGACCGGAACAGTAAGCTCTGAACCTGTGTGATATCGCATGTTAGGATCGTATGTATTCCTGCTCTTCATTATAGGCGGTTGTAATTTCGCCCGTCTTTGGAGACCCTGAGACAGGCCTAGTTGTCATTTGGCGGTTCCGGGTGTAAATTCTTCCTTCTGGTTGCGTTTTGACCGGGAGCTGCTCGCCCCCGACCCTGCCTCCCGACCCCGCGCGCCACCCTCGAAATCTTCTTTCTTCGAGCACGCCTTTTCTGCACGTGGCTTCCCTGAGCCTCGCTCCAGGTCCCCCCAAGGTGCCTGACCCCAGGTTTGGACTTTGAGCCTGCGAACTAATAACCGCTCCAGCACGGCAGGCATCCAAGATTTCGCTGAAGCTGGCACCTTACATGTATCAAGTGAGACAAGGAGTGGCAACAGCAAGGCTTGCGTCCTGGAAATCTGCGCATGTGGTGAAAGTCCTGCCGGTTTGCTAAGACGAGATGCCGAGTAACCTAAACCCTACTGTTGGCTTGCAGCAGCTTCGCCTCAGGCAGGTTATCCTAGGCCTTCAACCCTCAACCCTCTCAAGAATCGAGTCCGCAAAGTTTGAAACCCGCAACGAAAGCCCACCCTCACTGTTACAGTTGTTAGAGGCGGGCAAGGCGGGTTTGAGGGCTTAGGGTTTCGGGGGAGCAGGCTGCTGAGTAAGTAGGGGCCATTTAGAACCAATCATGCAGGAACCTTCAAGCACCCTAACCACAAAACCCTACAAGCCCTAGACTTCCAGCGCCCCCGTACCTCGTCTCCGCCTCGAGGTCTCAGCTGAACCTGGCTACTGCGATGCTTCAGTCGATGCCACAAGAGAAGGAGGCAAAAGAGTTTGGAGTTTAGGGGTTTAGGGAGGAGCTTGAGAGCGCACCCAACCTAGACGAGACTTGCATTTCCCATCCATCTTTGCTGTCTGTGTCCTAGCTCCTGCATGTTCAACCTGTAAAGTCTATGACCTGTTCGTATCTTCTTGTTGCGGCGCAGCCAACAAATTTAAATGTGTTCGACAAGGCCCCAAAGCCCTCAAAGCCCCTGAAGACAAGATCGCCGCCATTGTAGGTGTGAGAGCCCAGTCCCAGGCCTCAAGAACTCTAAGCCCGAAATCCTACACCCTACAGCCCCCTAAGAACTTGAGACCCTCGTCCCGAAACGCCGGACAATCGAAAACGACCCCCTTGGATCTAGCAGTCCGTGTGGAGGTGAGCCGAAGGGAGGTGGCGAAGTTTCTGAAGGCGAAGCTCAGGCCCTCCCATGTGCAGAGGTCGCCCAAGATCTGATGGCCCTAACTCGTGCCTAACCCACCGATTAGCCCCCTTGTCGGAAACCCATGAGAAGTTTTGTCCCCGCATCCATCCGAGAGTAGCTCGGCAGAGGCCACTTCATTCCCCCTTAGGGCTGCATCATTGTAGCATGTTGCAGCCCTGGACTGGAGGCACGCTTGTACATTCTTGTCGTTCCTTGGCTCCAGGTGGGAGAGTTTAGTTACATCTCTTCGCCGAAGGCTCCCAATTCGCCATAATCTGCATCCCCCGCTCGCGAGCGTTCCTTGACTAGGGGCTAGGGGTCCGGGTAATCCGGGTACGGGTTCCCTCGTTTGCCCGAAGCCCTTGTGACCCTTGGAATTCCATAGTTCCTGTGAGAGAGAGACTCCTTCACGTCCGAACCAGACCTGTGCTTTGCAGCAGAGCACACGTGGCTAACGAATCGGCTCTGCCTGCGGGAGTGCTCCGTTCTGACACCCCCAACGTCCCCCCAAATGGGCAAACTCCAAAACTCCCCAACTTCCCCAGCCCCCAACTTCTGGATACACGAGTTCTCCCGTGGCACACAGCCCTTTCCAGTGTTCCAGTGTCAGTGCCCCTGATTTTGGGCGCTGGCCTCATTGCCTCGCGCCATGGCCTGGTCCGCGCACCCAGCACCGGGGGGCTCCGACTTAGAGTTGTCATGAATAGTGAGAAGTAGCTTGGGAAGTACCCTGAACGAGGCGCCATAGCTACGATTCTTCGTAGCCCTGCGTGGGCGTAGACTGACCCCTAAGTCTCAGCGTGGTTTTCCGAACCCCGTGCCCTGAATCATCCTTTACTCTCGGCAGAACCTTGGGAACCCTGGGAAGCTGGCACAGGCGTCTACATGCCCCCCCCCCCCCGCGCGTGTACTCCCCACATTCATAGTACACGTGTTTACGTGCCTTGTTGCTCTGCAGCTGTTTGCAGCGGTCACGTCGTACTGGCTTCTTCCAAGATACCACTTGCCAAGACAGCGACCTCGGGCGAAGGTTGTCGCTGAAATCGTGTGTCCCTGTGAGCCATCGACTCATCTCGCTGCTATGTGGGGTCTGCTGGTGCTGCTTCCTTTGCTGATCAGCGCAAGGCCCGGTCAAGCCTTGAGCCAAGCCTGTGTGGATCCTTTTTCCTCGGAGGCGAAGCTCCCAAACACCGGGATTCTGAAGCTCTGAAATTTTCCCAGAATCACTTTGGGTAGTTCTCTAGATGAGGGGGTTCCCTAAAATGGGGGAAAGGGGTGTAGGGGTTTTTGCTTCGATTATCATACTCGCCGCCCAACTGCCATGAGTTCAAATTCTGTTTCCTTGCAAGGTCCCTCTTACAATGCGAGCTTTCATCTTGAGGTTGGAGCTGGCCACTTCAAATTAAGATCATCTGCGAAGAGCCGAGCACGCACACTGTGCACAGAGATCTGAACCTGCCGCAGGTCTCTTTTAACCCTGGATCCTTAGAAGCCCCCAAGCCCGAAACCCCTTAGCCTGACCCCTAGACCCTAGACCCTAGACCCTAGACCCTAAACCCTAAACCCTAAACCCTAAACCCTAAACCCTAAACCCTAACCCTAAACCCTAAGCCCTAAAGCCTAAACCCTAAAGCCTGAACCTCCCATGCCCCAAAACCCCCAAACATCGCTTCCTTCTGGTTGGGGGGAGGCCCTGTCCCGGAGGGGAGTGTGCGAAGGAGCCGACATGGGGGCAGTTCTCCACCTTATGATCCGGTTTGGGGATGGATAGACATACATAGATATATATATAGATATATATATGGCAGCTTATATATATATATATATATGTGTGGTTCCGTATGATGTTATTATGGAGTTTCGACACGGGAGACTCGATTTCGACATGGTTCTAAGGTCGCTAAGGGTTTGAGGTTTCAGGGCAAGAGTTTCTGGTTGGCAGAATGACCCTATGCATTCTAAACATCCTGAAATCTTAGCGGTGCTGGCCATTTTTGTGTTAATGTTCTCTTATCTCTCTCTCTCTCTCCTCCCTTGCTCGCTTTGTGTTTGGGTGTGCAAGGCTGGAAAGCTACTGTGGAGACGCCTCGTGCGAAACCTTGTGAATCATCGCTCTCCTTCTCCTGGCAAGTCTTGTCTCCCAGGAGCACCTCCTGCTGCAGCACAAGCACGGACTGCAGAAGGCCACCGCCTTGGATCCTGAACCCGCACCGGCATACTGCCTCAATCTGCCCCAAAGGTGCTCATGATGCTGTGCACAAAGTAGTTTACCTCTCGGACCCGCTTATTTGTGACTTAAAGCATGTATGACGGGTTATGCGGGGTTGGTATGCGGCAACCGTTGTTGCGCTTTCACATGCAGTGAGGCTGCAGGCGTGGGAGCCCTGCCCTGCAACTTCCTATGTCTTTCTCTTAAGACTTCACGGCTCCACGTGAGGTGCCAGCTCAGCAGAAGGCCATGGACGCGCGGAAGGCGCAAAAGAAGGCCCGGTGGTGGGTAGGTCCTGGTAGGTCCAGGTCGACCTCAACGTGTCGGTCAGACTGCCTTTGTGCTGATCCATCAGTTTCCAACGACCTGTAAGAGGGTTTGGGGCTTGAGGTTCAGGACTCAGTGTTTATCACCAGGAATTCCTGTCTTGCAGGCCTCCATCGTAGAAGAGCACGGCCGCTTGGGCGTGGTCGGCAACAAAGTCGTTGATGAGCGGCCTGGCAGACACCACAAGCCTGAAAGTGCAGGTGAAAAAGTCCAAGACCCTCAAACACCGGACCCCGCACCCAGCAAGCAACCCTGAACAAATAGGGCCCACCGATGACAAAACTGCACTCGCAAACCTGAGTGTCCAAATGCTACATGCTGTAAGTTGCCGGGGACCAAGTATCCCTGAAGCCAAGGCTTGCTACCATCCCCCAAGCCCCAACAGCCCTAAGCCCCACTCCAAGGAATGGGCAGCCCCTGCGTCTACGGGGAATGTCCCTCTTTTGGTCTCAGTGGAAACCGCAGTTCTGGACGTCAGGCGATGGCTAGGGTTTAGGGTTTAGGGTTGAGTGTTTAGAGTTTAGTGTTTAGGGTTTAGGTTTAGGGTTTCGGGTTTAGGGCGCCAGGGGGGGTTCATGGGTTCGGTCTTGGCGCTTCGGGTGTTTAATGGCCCTTGGGCTTTGATCTGGGGAGTTGTGATGTGCCTTGCTTGGCAGCCTAAACGATGTGTTTACATGCATATGTCATGCACCTGACACGCTATGCAAAGCACTCCTTTGCCGCGTCGGAAGAAGAAGTCCACCCCTGGGATTTTAAACATGCTAACGTGGGGTGGGAGGGTGGACGGCCCGGCAATAATTGCCTTTGAGTTGCGCCCCCCCCCCCCCCCCCCCGAAGTATTCTGACGATGCCGGCAAGACTTAGTCTAGGAAGAGCTTCGCCCGACCCTCTAAGATCCCACTGGACATTCTTTAGGCCGTCAAGCTTGCGCCCGCTGAAGTGGTTTTGGGCTTGGGATTTCGGGTTTGGTGGCTGAGGATCTAGGATTTTGGTGCTTCGGATCGCCTCTAAAACCCTGAGCCCCAAGTTCCTGCTTCCTGCTGCACCTTGCCTGGAGAGGCACTGTGCAGTGGTTGAAGGAGGACTGCAGCATTTCCGGGAGACTCAATGGACCCTAAAGCAAGGGCAGGGGATCGGGTTATAGGTAAGGTAATGTAATGGTTCAACCTCAAAGTGGGCTTTGACATGGGTAGTGTCAGGAATGCCATCGGCGACTATGCCGTGCCCTCTGTGCAGCGCTCATCCTAAGCCCCAAGCCCATATTCCCAAACTTACCTCAAAGCCACGGTTTCTTCCTTCGTCGTGGCCGATTGGAGGACTGGGGCATCACCTTGCTTCGCTGCCCAATGGCTGTTGAGGCTGGTGTCTTGGGTTCGGGAGTTCAAGGTACCACTAAAAAAAAGAAGAAGGGCTTACGGCTTGAACATTTGAGAGCTGCTTTCTCACCCTGAGTCTCACTCCTGAACCTCTACTGGCGCAGAGTTCATGGTCCAAGCCGCAACCCCACATTGGGTTGTAGGTTTTAGGCTTAAACGCCGTCGTGTGTTCCTTATATCGTCTCAGGTACAGCAAAAGGAAGGGCCCAGACAAGTAGCTTGGATGGATCACAACTTAAAGACTGAATTGCCAGTGCATGTGCTTAGAACTTGAGGGCTATGGCTTGCAGGCCCCAAACTCCAATCCGAAAGCCCTAAGTCCCTAAACAGGCAGCCAGCTCCAACCCCGACAACTTTAAGGCCCTAAAACCCAACTCTTATGCCTGGAACCCCCATCACAACCCTGCAGCCGGGTTTAGGTTTAGGGTTCAGGGTTTTCCCTACACCTCCGGACTCTGCTAGCGATCCACTCCTGAGCCTTCAGCACCACTCAACTCAGAAAGGCAGGTGGCTACCTGACCGACCCACAAGCTGAGAAGGCGAAGATAGAGGTGTCCTGCCGGGGTGTTTGGGAGGGTTTAGGTCTTCAGGCGCTTGAGTTCGCAAAGGCGAGGAATTTGAGGGCCTCGTTTGTTTGCGAGGTGAGGTTGAGACTGTTGGCCTTGCTTTGTTGTTGCAGGGAGTGTTTCAGGGGGTTTGGTTGCTTGCTTTTTTGTTTGCTTGATTGTTTGTGTGTGGAAGCCCTGATTCCAAGCTTGGAAGTTTGCAAATGTTCCTTATTTCTTGCAGGAGGACTGGAGATGATTTGCCTTTCTAGTCCAACGAAGCTACACCAAATCAGTGGATGCATGTGGGGCCGCTCGTTTGGACTCTCGTGTGTGTACCTGCCGCCCGAAATACCCAAAGCTGTTGTTTCATCTTCGGCCATATTCTGATGAACAGCAGATTTTTCAAGACTTCGTGGGCATTCGTCTGCGTTCTTTTCATGCGTACACGACCTCCTTGTGAACCCCATCAACCTGTTGAGGTTCTAAGGTGAGGGTTCGGCTGACTGCGGAGGTCCTTGGGATACAATGTATATACATATATATGGTTATCTTAGATTGCATTTCTACACACTATGTAGGGATGTAGGGTTCAGAGTTTGGAGTGTATCGTGTGGAGGTCGTCGTGGATGCAGCCATCGATGCGGGCATCTACGTCATCATTGACTCTTTGTCCTGTGGTTCAGTCTCTCCGTCCATGGCACGGGCATCTCTATGCGCGTTCCTTTGAGTGGCTTCTATCGTCCAGGCACGGGGTTCTCGAAGTAGGATTGGGGCCTAGCTTGGCTGGTGTTGGTTTGCGCCAGACGAAGCGCCACGATCTTCGCAGTGCAAGCAGCTATCGGCGATAAGGACTGGCATGACCACAATGCCAACGACCATCCGGAGGCGCTTCCATGCCCTCTTCAGGCTATGTTTCTGTAGTTTCAAGAGTTCAAGAGAAGGTGTGGGCTGTGCTGTGGTGCTACGAGCAGTCGAGATTAATTCTGTGCAGAAGAGCCTTAGTTGGGCCTTGAACCCTAAGCCCCCCACTGAACACTAAACCTTGGACCGTCACAAGACACGCTTCAGAGGCCGCCAAGGGGTTCTTCAAGGAGATGTCGCAGAAGCCACTTCATTGACAGCCTTAGTGGGTTTCCCCCTATGGTTGTGCTCATGGAAGGAGGGTCATAAGCAAGGTGGCCTATCCTACCACCTTAG